CACCATATAAGTACTACTTGGCAGCGTTTTCACGTCACACCAATATACCTTAACTACCTACTAAGCAACTTAGTCTTCACAATCGTTGCTTAGCCATTCCAATCTGCGTTTGCACGATCGACTGGAGTATACGACTACTCTACCAGAAGTGATTTCAAATTACATTTGCTGCTCTATTTATACTGTCCTGCACGCAGGCAGACAGTTATCCTAACAACATTGTTGCTAATATTTTCTTTACTTCCTTTTACCTAAGTACGTATGTATGTACTTCGAATTTCAATATAAATATGTACATATGTATTTCAATCTCACGTATGTATATAATTAACAATTCATTGACTTATAATAATTATCAAAATTCAACAATAAGTATAAATATATGTATAAAAATGAAATTCAAATTGTGGAGGCCCTTAGTGATGGACTTGGGGTCTTCACAAAGGTAATAAAAGAAATAAATAAAAGGACCGATAGTTTCTGACAAATTAATTAATCATTCCTTCAAATTTTAATAGAAGTAAAATTGAAAAAATAACAGGTTCTGTGCCAAATTTTTGCATTTTTGCTAAAGCCTGTTCTGTTACGAAAACTATCAAGTTACTAATGAAGGGAAGCGAGGGATAAATAAAGAAGTAATGAGTGGTCAAATCAAAATACGCAAAGATTTTTTTGTATGAAAAATTAGCAGGAAAGGAAATTACTCATACGCCACGTACACCTAAGTAACACGCTTTTCTGCTCATATTTCAAACGAAAAATCTTTGCGCAATTTCATTTGACCACAAAACCTGTTATTTTTTAAATTTCTTCTGTTATAGTTTGATTTTTTCATTTTTTCATTAAAAAAATAAAAAAACTGGAATGATTTATTAATTTGCCAGAAACTATCAGTCCTATCGGAAAGTGATGTATATATGGTTTATTAGCTTTGATTTGACGTATCTATAAATTGGTTCGTAAGACATACGTGATTAAGAGGAACCATTCTTTGTTTTAAGCTGAATCTCGGTAAATTGCAAATATCTCGAAAACGTATCAATAGAAAAAAAATTAACTCGATTTTCGGAATGACCGAGCAATTCTACATAGAAATTGGATTGTGGCGTCCGGAGAACAAAACCAAACTAAAATTTGTGATCCAGCGTTATTTTCCAGAGAGTAAAAACACTCATATTTCAAAATGGATCTCTTTTTTATAAAGCAATCGCATTTCTGGCTGGTATATTTCAGGACGAATGGATAAGGATTTGGCAGTAAATGTCAGTTACGCGCTTTTGCAGAATGACGATACGCAGTTTCTACTTTAAACGACGATATGTTTCATTTGTTCGGCGGCAGCTGTGACTGAGTGGCTAGAGGTGCGTACTACTACTTCGTAGGACCTCGGTTCGATCCCTAGTCCTGGGCCCTATTGCACCATCGAATTATTATTAGCATTTTAGCAAATTATCGAACATGCGCAGTTTTGTGTTTCACCGACATGATAAGAAAAAGTCACTCAAATGAGTATTGATCATATCATAGATAAGAGTTGCACCAAAATTTTAAATGCTTAGCGAAAATATTTTACCGGATAAGATATAAGTTATGCAAATTATCAAAACTTATTATTATTATTAGCATTTCGCTGCACCAAATAATTTTATTTATCACTTATCATCTTTCGTTTTGCTACCTTTACAATTATTTTGCTAAAAATAATTTTACCTATCATACCAGTGATAAGTTACATTTATTCAGTCTGAATGAATTAATCAGTACTTTAACACGTGATGCCATAAAATATTGACACAAAAAATGCTTCGATTCGAACTATTGAATTTATTAGAGGAGGAAAATTCGCAAATTGTAAAAAGCCTGTCATAAAAGAACAAATCAACTACAGTTTAGATATTGGTGTAGTAGAAAAATCTCGGCTATCTCGTAGCGAAATTGAAAAAAAAAAATATTTAAAAAATTGGAGCGGACCTACAATATAACAGTGAGCGTAATAATGGCTTAAGTCCGCTACAGAAATTATTATCGACTCTGCACTGGTTAGTTAATGGTAGCCAATATCATGGACTTGGTCATATGCATAGGGTCCACTGTCGGAAAATTCAGCCTCCACGACGAAACGTCCGACAACGGCCCGAGGCTAATCGACCTCGCCGGGCCCCGAAACATGGTAGTATGCAGTACTAGGTTCAAGCATAATAAGATTCATCAAGCTACGTGGCTGTCTCCGGGTCGAAAAACGAGAAACCAAATCGATCATGCTCCGATAGACGGAAGGCATGCTTCCAGTGTTTTGGACGTACGTACACTACGAGGGCCAAACATCGACTTGGACCACTATCTTGTTGCAGCCAAGATATGCACCCACCTCTGTCCAGAAAAAAATGTGCGCCCAACAATGCAATGAAAGCTTAACGTCGAAAAGCTGCAATTCCAACAGACGGCCAATTTATTCGCCACTCGACTAACACAGCAGTGGAACCACATTTCCTGATCATTAAGTACCGCCGCCGGAGAAGTAGAGGGATTTCAGCGAGCCCGAAAGAACAACTGGTACGACGAGGAGTGTCAGGAAGCAGCAGAGAAAAAATGACGCCGCATATAGGGCCACGCTGCGATCGGGCGCAACGCGAGCCATGTGTGACCGTTATAGGGAACCGAAGAAGGGAGGTAGACGTATTTGCCGCAATAAGAAGAGAGAGGCCGAAGTACGTGAGTGCGGCGAGCTTGAGATGCTAGCCGACAGGAAGAACGCCCGAAAATTCTACCAGAGGGTTAGGCGACTTACGGAAGGTTTCACGACCAGGGCGAACTCCTGTAAGAACAATCATTGCGACCTAGACACTGATGTCCAGAACGTACTTAAATTATGGAGGGAACACTTTTGAATGGCTGCAGCACTGAAAGTAGTGGAGAAGACGAACCCGAGCCCCCAGTCGATGACGATGGATTCGATGTCCCACTCCTGACTATGCCGAGGTACGAATAGCAATAACGCGGCTGAAAAACAACAAAGCTGCTGAAGCTGATAGCCTGTCAGCTGAGCTATTCAAGTACGGTGGTGAGGAGTTGATAAGCTGCATGCATCAACTCTTATGCAGAATATGGTCAGATGAACGCATACCCGACGACTGAAATTTAAGTGTGCTCTGCCCAATCCACAAAAAAGGCAACCCCGCCATTCGCGCCAACTACCGCGGGATCAGTCAAGCAAGTCAGCAAGTCAGCAAGGTATTATCGAGCGTATTGTGTGGCAAACTACAGCCCACCGTCAATGAACTGATTGGGCCTTATCAGTGTGGCTCTAGGCCTGGCAAATCCACCATAGATCAGGTATTCACAATACGCCAAATCTTAGAAAAGATTCGCGAGAGTAGGAACGACACACTCCATCTAATTGTCGATTTCAAAGCCGCTTTCGACAGCACGAAGAGAAGTTGTCTTTATGCCGCGATGTGTGAATTTGGTATCCCCGCGAAACTAATACGGCTGTGTAAAACGATCAGCTCAGTCAGAATTTGGAAGAACATCTCAGAGCCCTTTGATACTCCCTTGCATGTGATTTCCTTAATCTGATATTGGAGGAGATAGCGCCGCAGAACTGAACCGCTCAGGCACAATACTTTGCAAAAGCGTACAATTGCTGGCGTATGTCGACGACATCGATATTATCGGTAAAGCAAGGGCTACGTCTGTTCTGCCTTTTCGGGATTAGATAGAGAAGCAAAGCGAATGGTAAACGAGGACAAAACGAAGTATCACCTGTCATCTCACAAATAGTCAGGTCATACGCATCTTGGCACACACGTCACTATTCCCAGTTACAAGTTTGAAAAAGTAGACGACTTGATTTATTTGGGAACCAGCAACAACACCATTAATGGTGTCAGCTTTGAAATCCAACGGAGAATCACTCTTGCCAACAAGTGCTACTTTGGACTGAATAGGCAATTGAGAAGTTAAGTCCTCTCTCGTCGTATAAAGAACAGACTCTATAAGTCACTCACCATGCCTGTGGTGGTGTATAGCGCGGAGGCATGGACAATGAAAACATCTGATGTAGCGGCTCTTGGAGTTTTCGAGAGAAAGATTCTGGGAAAGATTTATGGACCTTTATGCGATGGCGAATACCGCAGACGATTTAACGATGAGCTTAACAACGATATAGACATAGTGCAGCGAATTAAGATTCAGCGGCTCCGCTGGCTTGGCCATGGTTTCGAATGGACAGAAACTCTCCTGCTCTGAAAATATTCAACGCGAGCCGAAATGCTGGTAACAAAGGAAGAGGAAGGCCTCCCCGGAGTCGGCCAAAATCGTTTAGGCGGTTACAGCGCCAATAAAGAAGAAGAGAAGAAGAAGAAGAGTAATCCATCGAGTGGGAAATGCACCTCTCTGCAGTTGACAGGACAACTTTTTCCCAAAGTAAAAATTCCTATCGGATAATTTGCCGTTAATTATCCGTGAAAAGAATAATTTTGCCGCGGAAATATTTTAAAAAATATCGCGTGCCCTGCTAACTTCCGTGGAAACCAATTAAGGAAACCAGCTAAACCCAAACTAACTATCTGATAATATGCCGTAAATTATCCGTTCTTTATCCGTGGGACTAAAAATTTTGTCGCAGACATATTTAAAAAAAATATCACGTGCTCTGCCAACTTCCGTTGTAGTTAGCAGGACAACTTCTGAAAACAAGCTAAACCCAAACTAACTATTTGATAATTTGCCGTAAATAATCCGTTCTTTATCCGTGGGTCAAAAATTTTGTCGCAGACATATTTAAAAAAAATATCTCGTGCTCTGCCAATTTCCGTGGAAGTTAGCAGGACAACTTCTAAAAACCAATTAAGGAAACCAGCTAAACCCAAACTAACTAATTAATAATTTGCCGTAAATTATCCGTGGGACTAAAAATTTTGTCGCAGACATATTTAAAAAAAAATATCGCGTTCTCTGCCAACTTCCGTGAAAGTTAGCATGACGACTTCTGAAACCAATTAAGGAAACCACCTAAACCCGTGGAACTAAAAATTTTTTCGCAGACATATTTAACAAAAATAACGTAACTTCCACGGAAGTTAGCAGAGCACGCGAAATTTTTTATAATATGTCGCGGCAAAATTTCTAGTCCCACGGACAAAGAACGGATAATTTACGTCAAATTATCAAATAGTTAGTTTGGGTTTAGCTGGTTTCCTTAATTGGTTTTCTGGTATTTTTACCTCCAGGAAAGCAGCAACTAGTTTTTATTTTATTTTTTGAATAAAATAAATTTTTTCTGTATTTTGATTTTTTTAACTATTGTTTTTGTTCACTTAATTTCAAACAATAGATCATTGTTTATAAGGAATTGGTAGCACGAATGTCGTTTTTGTCAAATGGCTAATATGGCATATGAAAAGAGAGTGGAACTACCTCTAAAAATGATTGCATCATGGTTTAAAGTTCGCTGTGAATTTTTGTATCTCTGAGCGTAAACTAATGAAATATTAAATAAAAAGCACTTCTAAAAGAATATAGTTTTTGGTCACTTACATTGATGAAGACGATATACATATACAGCATCCGGAGTACTTACAAAATACTGCTGTCGTCAACGACTTTCCACCCTTTGATCTGTGAAAGTCGAAAGTCCGACACATAAACTTCCAATGGAAATTCTGGCATCCAAACAGTAAATTTTGCCAATCCAGCATACGATCCATATTTTACAACAACTGAAGCATTAGATGATCCCCTTATTTCAGAGCCGTCGACATAAACTGAACTGCATGACGAAGACACCTAAAACAGAAAAGCGTTGACGAAACAGGAAAACGAGCAGCAATACATATTTTGCAATAGCGAATCCCAAGTACATAATAGCAATAAGGCCACAAGTAGCGCTGGGATTAATGACGGTGACATGTAACAAGATCAACGGAAATAAGGTCAATTGAGACTATTTCGCAGACTGGTGCGAAATAAAGTCAATTGACATTATTACCTTTTCAAAAGCGAAATAAAGTCAACAAAAATATGGAAATAAAGTAAATGATGCTATTTTCTCATTCAATTGGAAACAGCGTCAACAATGCTTAATGTATGTCGATTCAAAAAAAAATAATAATAATAATGTTGTTCTAGCATAGTACGTGAGATATGAATGTTGTTACAATAAACATTGCCCCGTAAGTGTTGTTTCCTTCCATAGATGAAAGAGGTTATTGTCAGATCCTCAGCATGCTATTAATCAACAAGACACAGTCATGAATCACCACCAATTGATTTTATTAATAATTTTAAAATTACGAATATAACAAAAACACGCTGCGAGAAACCAACCTCAAAAAGAGCTGGAATACGAGAAATATTTGAAGAAAGAATGTAGAAATGATCAAGACTTGCAAAACATGTCTTATTTCCAAAAATAAAGCGAACACTATTAAATTGAAGAAACAGTGGATTGCCGCCATGTCCAAAAATCCAGAAGGAACACTGAAATAATTGTTTTTAAATGAGCATATTTTGAACGAATTCGGAATGACTAAGGTGGAAAAGAAACATTTTGTATAAGGAAACAATTAAAGAAAAGGAATTTTCTTACACTGTATTCATGTCGCCGCCAACAATTTGTAACATTATTTAAAATCAGCTGAGGAGAACGACAGTATTTATTAGATGGTACATTCAAATCAGTGCCAAAATGCGGGTATAAACAATTCCATATTGATTATTTGTTATCGGAACCGGATCATGTAAGTTGACTGATTGGTTTTCACACACTTTTTGAACGCAAATTATATGCTTTTTACTGCAGACAAGTTGTTGCCAACACAGCAAAAATCTTTCAATAACTTACAAATATAAAAATTTTAAATATCGAGGGTCTATATCACCGTGCGCCAAAAACCAACAATTTTTAAAACACACGAAAAAATCAATATATTCACAAAACTAGGAGCCAAATATAGTGTAACTGGATTCTTAATTTTTCTCTCTGACGTTAGGATTGATTGAATGAAAAAATTATTTGAAAGATTTGGTGCATTGTAGAGTAACAATATGGGTATCAAATAAAAGGAAACATTCTGTAGAATTTAAAAAAATTAAATTTTTTGTTGCACCAGGACGAATAAATGTTGAAAATGTAATTTAAAAACTTTATCCTTGAATATCCTTGGAAATTTCCAATATTTATTTTTGAATAAAATATATGCCAAGGACTAATATGTAAACTACCTCGAATTTCGTCCTTCTAACTTTATTAGTTTTAGATAAAAAAATTTTACACTTCTCTTTATAAGATATTGATAGTTACAATATACATAAATGAAGATACTAGAATCATTACACTGTACAGCACGCACTCCGCTGGGTATTGGACCAAACCAATTTTTTTAAGAGATCGAGTTATAGATAAAAAAGTAATTTCTCCGTTTTTCGAAGTTCGCCTCTGAAATCGAGATATGGGCCTTCGAAGTTCGAAAGAGGATCTTTGGTAAAAAATTATTTTTTATTATTATATGTACATAAATAAAAAACTAAAAATACAATCTTAGACCGCCCTTTGCTATTATTTAAATGGTTTATAACTTTTTTTTGCAAAGTTATATTACAGGTGCTATTTATAAGGGGGCAAAGGTCGGGTCTACGAAAAATTAAAAACCTTATATTTAAAAAAATGTTGAACTGATTTCTAAAAAGTTGGTATCGTTTTAAACGTGATTAGACCCCCTTCTTCTCATATGATATGCATATTTGTATACTTTGTGTGTAAAAATTTGAGAAAAACATTTAAAAGGAAAAAATAAGTTTTTTTTATAAAAAAAAATATTTTAAACAAAAAAATTACTAATAGGTTTTTAAAAAGTTGATATCGTTGTAAACGCAATCAAACCTACTTTCTTCTGATATGCGTATTTGTATACTTCGTTTATAAGAATTTGAGAAAAAACACTTAAAATTAAAAAACACCTTTTTTTAATAAAAAAAAATACTAACCGCTTTTTAAAAATTTGGTATCGTTGTAAAGGCGATTAAATGCCCTTTCTTCTGGTATTTGAATACTTCGTAGATAAAAATTTGAGAAACAACACTTAAAAGCAAAAAATACCTTTTTTATAAAAAAAAAATATTGTAAACAAAAAAAATTACAAACCGATTTTTAAAAAATTGGTATCGTTGAAATGACAAAAAATGTATGCCATTTGAAAAAATGCCATGTGGAAATGAACTTAATTACTATTTTTTTTAATGTAATGACACGATTTTTTTTAATGCCCGACTTTGTCATTTTTGCCATTTAATGCCTAGGGGAAATCCAGCATTATACTTTCTTAATCCCAAAAATTTCTATTTATATACACAAAGAAAAAAAAATTTAATTAAAAACAAAATGGTCTTTGTCTTAATTGTGATAAGTGTTACGTGTTACCTATTTGTAAGAAGCGTCTGAACCTCATAGATATCCCATCACTATACATTGGGGATAAATCTATTAAATTTGTATCCAAGGTAACTAATCTCGGTTATGTTATTAATACTAGTCTTACGTGTGTTGATCATATAAACTCCATTGTCGGAAAGGTGTATTATACTTTGAGAAACTTAAGAATGTCTGCACACCAATTGATATCAGACGGAAACTTGCAATACAGCTTATACTTCCGATAATATGCTATCCTGAACTAGTTTATAGCAAGCTAGACTCTCAATCAGCACATAAAATTTAGGTAGCTTTCAACCATATGTATTTGGGATAGCAAAGTTTGAGCATATCTCTGCCTGCTGGGCTGTGAAATCTCTGACTACTTGAAAGCAGAGTTGGGAAAAATTTATTCGAATGACGAATAACAAATGAATAAATTGTTTTTCTTGTTATTCGTAAACAATAAATAATTTTGTTTATTAAAAAAAAAATGATTCGAATGACGGATAAATTATTTTATTCGTTATTCGAATAATTATCAACTTCATTAATTATTCGAATAACGAATAAAATAATAGTAAAACAAGTAATTTATGTATATAGATATGTACATATATTTATGTATAAAATGATAACCGTTTTCGTTGTTGCGATTTAACTCAAACCCCTGGATAGATTTAATTTAAATTTTCGGAGGTTATTCCATGCGCATAAAGTCCTACTAAAGGCTACTAGAAAACTCCTTGGTGGCGATGTAGCCGAGTTATTTATAAAAGTATTTATGTATGATGTATTTATGAACTGATTTCGTTCAAATTCAAAATGTGTTCTTCCTGCATGATGAAAAATACTTATGCGAAAAATGGACCCGCTAGGAGGCGCTGCAGTTGAGTTATTTAGAAAATCCCTATTTATTGTACTATCAGGTTGCAATTCATAATGGTGCTGCAGTCGAAATCATTAGAAACCTCATATGTCTGGACTACTTTGTTTTTTATGTTTATATTATACGAATTTACGATGTCTCACGTCGTCATACACCCTAAAGGCGACCTTGCATCTACCTCCGCTTGATGAAATTGCTCGGGCGGCCATTGCTGCACCAGTAAGGCTCAAGGAAACCAGCTCTTGGATATTTTAAAAGTGGCGAATCAGCAAGGAAAGTTTCGACCACATCCTTCCAAGAAAGACCACTGTTGGTATATCAATGGCCAAATTTTACATCGAGGATTTTTGGCTCTCCTATAATAGAAAACGCACATCTGTGCTCTTCAGCTTCCTTATAAGGACTTTTGTTGGGCTACATGATATAAGACTAGAGGTTGACGCATCGGACCAATGCTGTAGTTGCAAGATCATAGAAGATTACGCACGCTTAGAAAAGATCTCACAAGTGGAAATAAGACCATCGGTAAAGCTGATGATATTGAAAGGAATTTTTTCTTGCATATAGCATCAGAGCGCTATTTTTTTGGCAGAAATATGTGTGAGAAGGGTTCTGCTCTTTAGTTGTTCAACCTAAATTAAGAATTTTTACTTTACCCATATTTGGTTTTCAACGCTATTCTTGCATTGGCCAACGCAAAAAATCTTATCAGGGGCCGCGGGAATGGGCTAGTATTCTTGATAAAATAGTAAACAGAATTCAGCTAACTCACAATCCTTGACAATAGAAATAAAAGTAAAAGTGTGGTAAATGAGTATTTATTCATTATTTAAAATAACGAATAAATTATTCGCAAGCAATTTATTCACGAATAATTTACCCGTGAATAAGTTATCTGCGAATAAATATACTACGGATAAAATTCTATTCGAATAATAATAAATAACAATTTATTCGAATAATGCCCAACTCTGCTTGAAAGCTAGAAATTGTATATTCCTATTTCGTCTTATGATTAGGGACGTTCCGATACCATCAAAGTATCGATACCTACTCAAATGAGTTTACTCAAATCGCTATTGCGATACTACTTATATGAGTCAACCGAATGTATCGATACCTACTTATATCGATAATTTTTCATCCTTTTACATGCAACAAAGCGAAATTATTTTTCAGACGTTATCTGTGACATACCTTGAGCGGCACCTGAGTGGCAAATCGACCTATCTCGGCAGAGAGTTCGAGATTTTCAATATATTTTCAGTTAAGGTATCGATATGTATATTTCTTCATTAGTAGCACTAGAAGTAATACGATTACTTAGACAAAAAATTCAACCTTTGAAAGGTTCCCACAAAATTTTACGGCTACAATGCATTGCTTGCACTTTATTGTGGTATCACTAGCTTTTTAAAATTATATCCACACTTTACTGGTCGTCTCCACAGGATAAAATTTATTGCTGTCCAGCTGTAATTTTGGTCA